ATAAAAGCCTACCAATGTATCAATGAAAATTTCTCTCCAGCTGAAAAGCCTCATAATTGTATGTTTATCTCAAATATTATGAACAAAAATGTGTATATTGTCCATGTCGTATAAACCCTTTAGGAGCCAGTTTATGGATTTTTGCTCATGTTTTCTATAAACTCCCTCCATCAATATATGCCATCTATATATTTCTGCTTTTTCTATTTATTCTGAAAATGCAAAGTATTAGAAAGTGAGATGATACTGCCATCTATCTTATTTTCCATGTTAGATTTTTCATATTGTAATTATACAGTTCGGGAGAATTGACTGCAAAACACATTTTCCATTACGCAAATTCAGAGTAAGGTAGCATTCGTGAATTCAGCTGGCGGCTGATGTTTTGGCCAACTCATTTGAATATGAATGGAATAGTGACAGGTACTATATATTTACTATTTATTTAAATGAGTTGGTGATGAAAAGGTAGGTTTAACCGTCAGCCGGCATTTGAATTAGCGAATGCTAGCTAAGGTAGACATAGTTTAACAAATAATCCGACTCATTATAGGCAGGCAGAGTTATTAAGAAGGGTCGGGTCCAAAAACTAACAAAACCAAAAATGGGCCCAAATTTGAAATTTCAGGCCCATTTTCTTGATAATGTGGCCTTAAATTAAAAACAAGGCCCAAAACGCCCAAAACTATCTGGCTCAGAGATTAATGAATAATCTTCCTATTAAGACATTTTAAAAAACTATCTGACTGATTATGGAAGGCAAAGTATAATAAATAATCTTGCTAGTTATGATGTGGCAGACCTTATATAAACTTTCTGGCTCAGAGATTAATGAATAATCTTGCTATTAAGGTAGGCATTTTAAAAATCTATCTGACTGATTAAGGAAGGCAGAGAATATTAAATAATGTTGCTTTGTAAGGTTGGCAGAGTTTAATGAATTATCTGGCTAATTAAGGTAGGGCAAGGTTTTAGGAATGACATACCTAATCTACCTGGCATTGAGGATATTCATTTTTATGAGTTTTATGGATGAGTTGAACCGTTCTCAGATATAAAGCTACGAGTGGTGATTGGTCTGCCATCTATGTTTAAAAAGCGAGGATTTTGTACAACTATATGAATACATGATGGATACAACATCCTACACTGCAACGAACAAATGTAAGACTGTGAAATATGCAGACATGTCACCATAAAAAGTCGCCTATAGTTTTTTAATGTGTCGTCCCCAATTTGCCTTGTGTCATAAATGAACATTAACTCATTCCCCCGAGCCAGAAGCTATAATGTAAACATCTTTATGGTTGGTATTGTTTTACTGCTATCCTGGTCACATTTATTACTGCCTACACCTTAACGAACATCTTTCCATCTTACAGCCCCCTCAATATATTTGGTAACCCAGGCCTAATTCTCAAGTGGATGTCTAGGTCTGAACTCGATTTTTCCACAGTAACATGAGGTTGATGATTTGGGAAACACGATTTTTTAAATTACAAACAAGAATTGATATATGGTACGATAGGGATGCTGGGTTTAAAAAAACTTTCGAAGGGGTGTATTTCTCCGAGACATATGTTCCACGATCCACCCATACCCCTATACAAGTATGCGCCGAATGAGAGAAATGTGTTAATGCTTGGCATCCTTGGTCCAAGGGTATTCCAATTTATTCCATGAGATGGGGCAGTGAATGCCCGATCTTGAAGGATGGGCAATGGGGTAATTAGAGGCTTGAGCTGGTAAAAGACTTTAGTGTACCTGCTACATGATAATAGCGTTATTTTAATTGTACGACGACAAATGCAATTGTGTTAAGTTGTACGTTGTTTCATGCAATGAGATACATTTATGAAATACTTATAGTGTTGCGAGGTCTAGTGTAGTATAGTTTAGTGTACTGTGATTTCTACTTTAGTGTAGTATAGTGTAGTGTATAGTAGTATGGCGTGTTTTAGTATAGTGTAGTTTTGTGTAGTATAGTGTAGTGTATTGTAGTATGGCGTGTTTTAGTATAGTCTAGTTTTGTGAAGTGTAGTATAGTGTAGTGTATTGTAGTATGGCGTGTTTTAGTATAGTGAAGTTTTGTGAAGTGTAGTATAGTGTAGTGTATTGTAGTATGGCGTGTTTTAGTATAGTTTAGTTTTGTGAAGTGTAGTATAGTGTAGTGTATTGTAGTATGGTGTGTTTTAGTTCAGTGAAGTTTTGTGAAGTGTAGTATAGTGTAGTGTATTGTAGTATGGCGTGTTTTAGTATAGTCTAGTTCTGTGAAGTGTAGTATAGTGTAGTGTATTGTAGTATGGTGTGTTTTAGTATAGTGAAGTTTTGTGAAGTGTAGTATAGTGTAGTGTATTGTAGTATGGCGTGTTTTAGTATAGTCTAGTTCTGTGAAGTGTAGTATAGTGTGTATTGTAGTATGGCGTGTTTTAGTATAGTGTAGTCAGTTTGTGAAGTGTAGTATAGTGTAGTGTACGTGATGAAGCGCACGTTTAGTGTAATGAAGTGCATGTAGGACAACTTTTTTATGTAGGGCAACTTGGTTTAGAAAATAGAATAAGGTGTCAAATTGGTAAATGGGATGTGCTGTAGTGCACGGTGATCGTATAGCAGTTTGATGTACACGTAAGGAAAGAAACATGGATTTGACTTTTAGCTATTTCAGTTTCTTTTTGAAAAACGTCCAGAAAATGGTAAAATTTCTCTTTTCCTATTTTATTGGAAAATTGCAAATCAGTCTTCAATCAAGCAAGACAATCAGCTAAATATGAAATGGAATCAATGCTCTACTGTACGACCGTGACCTCATTGTAAAATATCTGAAATAGACAGAAGTCGGCGTTGTTCATAGCTGATTTCCCTTCGACTTGTAGAAATGTCATATTTTTAAATGGACACAAGAAAAACAGAAATACCCTCGACCACCGATTTGCAGCTAAAATCTATAATGATAACACATTTTTGCACTTAAATGGCAAATAGTCCTATTTTAATGACAAACATTTAGCGAGGTAGCAAAAAGCTTTTGTTAGATGTGTTTCTTTTAACTTCTTTTAGCAATTGTTTACTTTTACTGGTTACTTTGCCTGAAGAGAAATTCAGACTCAGAATCAATATTTCGGCATTAGTGTCTTACAAATAGGCCAAATCTTGTCATCTCAAAGGATTCCAATTGAAATTATAAAATGCAGATTTACAATGCTTTCACATATTTATGTAAATAACTCAATGAGGATTGTTACAAAAATACGCATGAATATAGGATTTTTGGTACGCCATTCAAGAAATCAATAAAAAATATATCGTTTTTGGCATAGGTGTAGACGAACTGGATTTATAGTGCACTCTTTTTATGGGTAGACCAGAGATGTGCGACAAGGGACTGTGAAGTGAGTGATATCATTTTAATTAAATTCCTCCTATCTTAGTACAATATATTATTATATAAAATGAATTCATTATATTTATATGCGATACACAGTCATGCATAAATGCATTAACTTAGATTTGACAGTTGAACATTACTATTTTGAGAAACACCTTTTTAGTTCACGATTGAGTAAAATGTGACATACTTTGATACATTACATTTTTTATATAATGTTTATTGTATCGTAATGTTCACTGCCCCCAACAAATGTTTTTGCAGTCTCCTATCTCTGGGTATTATATTTGAAATCACGAGGGTTATATTTGTAGGCTGTGCTTAAAATCTGATTCTGCCTTTAATAAAGGTCATGATTTCGGATTGACCTAGACACGCGGTCAATAACCTGATAATGACCTACCAAGAATAATGATTGGCCTTATCACCTTTTGAATAATATATTGATACATTTTTACACCCTGATCTCGATTCTAGTTCTTGAATAACCTTGAAAGGGTCGATCACACTGATATATTGCCTTGCATGGCCAAGGGATTACAATACTCTTTGCATTTGCTTTCGGCTTCTTAAAAGAGAGTTTCATCTGCACCCATCCAGACTCTGCGCGCAGGGTAGGATTACACTATAATACCAGAGGGGGAGAAACACCAGGGTTCAAAGATGACATACGCTTATAATGTAAATCTGTATTGAGATGACACGGTCGCTGATTGGTCAAAAGTCGCCAAACAAATGACGTCATCAATGGCGGTTTCAAAATTTTCGAAATACGCTTCGAATAATATTATGTTCATTTCTGGCGTGTTAACCAATATCATAGCTTCTCATTTCACATCAAGATAAAGAAAGGTGTACGGAATATGCCTATATCAATTATAACATACCATCGAAGTGTAGTATTTGATAACTAGCCGATGAAAATTCGAACGAACGAAGGTGGTAAGCAAGAGAGGTAATTATGTCTGTCATCTTGAAACTCTGGGGCTTTCCCTCCTCTTATAATACTATATCATTATAACATCAAACTCAAGCATTGTACAGTGTTGCAAGACCCACACATTTCTAGATCGACTGTGACTACTAGTATATAGTAACCTCAAATATGATTTACATAGAACCTGCAGATCTTTTGCATTACAACATATAGTCAGTTATGTAGTTTTATCCTTATTAAACGTGATACAGGGTTTGCAATAAGTATAACACACACACCTAATAATGATATCGGACTACACATTTGTGTTTTCACACTTATTGGGGGAAGTGTACTGTGATGTCAAGTCAATTCAAACCGATTATATGATTATTAGACTCTCAAAATGTGTTTCCTATGATTGCCAGTTGTGATGTATTACGCCAGATATGCTATCAAATAGAATATCCCGATGTTCTTCTAGATTACTACACCCGTAAAATACACTGCATCTTTGTGCTGCTGCGTCCATTTATCAGTGGTTAGCTTCCCGTCAATTTAACGACATTTGTGGCAGGTGTCGTAAACTTCGCCACCTTTGGGGCAAACAATTGCAGTAAATCTGTCAAGTTTTCAGGTAAGTTCAAATGCAGTGGCTTTTGCAGTGATAATCTCATTTTCACTAAACTATGCTAACTTGTTAAAACATAAAAAGGAATGGCGGTTTTCGAAGTTTCATAAGTGAATGGTTTGCAAACCAAAATAACAATTCGACTGATGTTGTTCGAGATTGTGTGAGTATATTACAACATTTAATGTTTAATGTAATGTAATTTATCAATGCTGTATATTATTATAAAGAAACTTAAAACAGAAATTTATTTTTTCAAAGGCGATGTGTATGCTGAAAAATAGGTTACATTGTAGATCAAAAGTTATTAAACGGATGCATTTATTTCATTCAACAATCGTTTTACAAATAGAGTTCAACATATAGCACACAAGACACTTCACAACATCGCTCAGCACTATAACAACATGACCTAGCACATTTGGATAAATCACCTCACACGTGGACATCACATATCGACATATCACATCACGAATGACCATAGCACATCACATATTATCATATCACATTACAGATGAACATAGCACATCACATATCGACATATCGCATCATGAATGAACATAGCACATCACATACCAACATATCGCATCACGAATGAACGTAGCAAATCAAGCAAATCACATACTGACATAACACATCACGAATGAACATAGCACATCGCATACCGACATACAGTGTACGCATCGTGAAAGAACATAGCACATCACATACTGAAATATTGCAACACAAATGAAAATAGAACATCTCATACTGACACATCACATCACTAATGAACATAGCACATAATATATTGCAGCACGAATAAACATAGCACGTCATATATCACATGACAAATGAACATAATACATCACATACCGATACATAGCACATCACATATTGACATATTGCACCACGATTGAACATTGCACATTACATCCGGACATTTGTGATGAACACATGATATCACAGCTGAATATATGATATCAAAATTGAACATTTGATATCACAGCTGAACATATGATATCACAACTGCACATTTAATATATCACGAATGAACATATGATATCACAGCTGAACATATGATATCACAATTGAACATTTGATATCACAACTGAACATATGATTTCCAAACAGAACATATGATATCACAACCGAACTTATGATATCCCGACTGAACATATGATATCAAAACAGAACATATGCTATCACAACTGAATATATGGTATCACAACTGAACATATGATATTAAGGCTGAACATATGATATCACAACTGACCATATGATATCACGGCTGAAAATATGATATCACGACCGATCATGTGATATCACGACTGAACATATGATATCACGACTGAGCATATGATATCACGGCTGAACATATGATATCACAACTGACCATATGATATCAAAACAGAGCGTATGATATCACGACTGAACATATGATATCACAAATGACCATATGCTATCACAACTGAACATATGGTATCACAACTGAACATATGATATCACGGCTGAACATACGATGTTTCAACTGACCATATGATATCACGGCTGAAAATATGATATCACAAATGGACATATGATATCACGACTGAACATATGATATCACAGCCGATCATATGATATCACGGCTGGACATATGATATCACGATTGAACATATGATATCACAACTGACCTTTTTCGATATCACGACTGAACATATGGTATCACAACTACACATATGATATCACAGCTGAACATATGATTTGACAGCTGAACATATGATCATTGCACATAAGTTTTCTGTAGTACTTTATAGGATGCCATAACGCACAAAAAACTCAAAGACAACGCATCCCAACAGAACTAAAAAAAAACACAATCAAAACAGTAAGCAAAAACAATATGTTTGTATAGTACTAAGATGACTTTGAAATTATTCTACTTAAATGTCAATGGGAATTAAACACAACTTAATGATGTTATAATTGCAAACATAAAAAACATTGGTTGAAAAACAACTGGCATACCGTCCAAGGAGAGCCTGGCAGCAAAAAGTTATTATTTCTCCGCAGTGGATTCCATTATTCATAGAACTACAGAGTGACATGATAAGATAATGAAAAATTATAGTTACTAGAAACAATTAATTCCCACTCAGTTTCTGCAATATAGCAAAGTATTGCCGAATGTTATCTATAGCGCTTCCACTGTGAACGCCATTCTCAAAGGATCATTGCTTCCCGAGGAAACAGGAGCCAAACAAGACTGAAAATTGAATACGATATGTACGTAGTTCTCGATCGTTTTAGAAAAATAAAGTTTAAATGGTTCCAGGGTCTACTGTCTGATACCGCTGTGCTTAAATTAACAAACCCGCTGGATGCGATCGCCTGAACGTTGGGTATTGATGCAAACTGCCGAAGATAGAGAAACGCTCAGGTGAGAACCTATAAATTAGTCCACAGCCTATACACTTGATATTGCTATCAATTAGAAAACAATTATCTTGTGCTTGCGAAGCCATGAAATGAATTTATCTGTAATAAAGAAAACGCTACTAATGTTTATTGGGTATCTGCGATATATTAGCATGTGTTTCTGTTTGGATTACCTGCTTTTCAATGTATCTTTATAAGCCCCATTGAGGTAACTAAAAGAGTAGTATGTGGTGTGTACTTCGTTTACTATATATAGGCGATTGGGATTAATAAAATTACAGGGTGACTGAAAATTACAATCCTTAAATTTTGGACTAGCTTTAATCGATTACGATTGAATCTTTTTGTATTTTTGCGTTTATACAATGTTAAATGAGTGACCTGACTGTCAATAGATGGCGAAGAAATTAATGTGCTAAATTGTATACTTTCACATGTAAAATTACTTCAAAATTCTTCCAGGATTAATTTCAAAACATCCAAAACCTTACGATTTTGAATCTTAAAGGAGCAACCCACTAAAAAATTAGTGAGCTGCCATCTATACAAGTCCCGACTCCCATAACACCATTGTTTCAAGCATTGAACACTCCGATTATTAAAAGGGATGATTTTTTGTGTCACCCTGTATAAACTTCACAATAACAGACCTATATTTAAAATAATACATAGTTAATGTCGTGGCATTATATTTAATTGATTTATCACATTTAGTACTTAAGTGGCACTAATAACAACTATTTTTAGTCAAACATTTTATCGTTTATTGTTTCAAACTGACTGGTTCGAGAGACTACATTCATTCATCGGTTAAGGAGGGCGGAGTGCGTCAGCTTTGAGACATGTTTACGCTCGAAGACGCCTAGATTAAATAGTCAGAATTCTATCCTGCCTACCTTAGTTTGAATTTCTACAATTGTTATAATCATCATCTCATCACACCTCGACATTTATTGCCGTGTTCCATAAGCTAATTATTAGCAGAAAGCTGTTATTTCTGATGTATTTTCAATTCATTTTAGATTTCTAAGGCGTATTCTAGTCAGGCGGAAAATAACTACCGTGTTGAGATGTGAATTATTAAGATACAACATATGCCACTGTCATTCAGATGTAACTAATTTAATGAAATGAGCTAAAGTGATTGAATTAAAGTGTCACAGGATGAACTGATGAAGTACCTGTATACAGGAATACTGTATATTCCATTCCTAGTGAGTAAATTGAACCTTGAATGTTATAGTAATATACGAAATCAAATACTGGGGGACGTGTCAGTGTCACGTGTCACGTGTGTTTATTGTGTCACCTCATTTTTAGAGCATACATCATATTTGTATATTGGGTTGCGTAGCTATGTTGAGTTGTTTAGGAACAATATAACAAGGTCGACGTGACCTACCATCTATTATGGAATTTGATATTAGTATACTGTGACAAACTTGGATGTATTAGGGAAGCATCCTCAATAAAGACCTCATATAAGAAGGACTAAATCTCCTGGAGACCATATCTACTGATGTGGCATCAGTCTGATAGCAAAACAACTAATTAATCCCTCCCATTATATTATAAATATCTCGAAGAATCCTTTTTTTATACTTGATACACATTAGTCATATATCTGAGTTACCAACTGACTGGTGTCGCTCTTTTATTTGCTAATAGCGTTTAAGTGAGTTTTATCGCTAGAGAATCAAAACGTCAATTTTGCATAGAAACCCTCATTGATCTGTGAGAAGGTAACTGGAGGCTATTTTTCAAAGAACATTACATATCCTTTATTTAAACCAATATTGCATTTTACCTCGCCTGTTTATCATTAATTATTGAATGGTGGAGAAAAGTGTATCAATATAGAGATCTTTAATATCGCTGCTTTTATTTATTTGCAGCTATACAATGTTATATGTTCACCTGTTTCTGAAATTATAAATTTATTGTAAAAATCACTCATTTATACATCTGTCCTGTAACTGAAATGATACTTTAAGTTTGGATTGCGAAAGCGCATGGCTGGATGCGTGACAGGGCTATGCGGGACCGGGAACTCACATTTAGTTTAATAAGAATTTTAGGCCAGGTTTGCTTATTTGAAGAATTGATCAGAATTGGATTAGAATTTGTCATTGGCTAGGTATGGACGGACGGACGCTCACTATTTTGAGATAGGCTGCGGAGCATATTATTCTACCGATCACTTTTAACAACAACATTCTATTCAGAAATAAAAACAAATTCAGTTTCATGGATTAGTGTCACATACCCTCTCCAAGAACTCGACCTCGTGTACACTCTGTATTGGAATTGAAATGATTTGTGTCTGGCAACATCGGTATAATATCTTTCCACTTGTAACTAACCAACATTTATTACGTTATAAAAGCGATATATGAGATCAATTAGATCGGGAGTTATAAGTTACGTGTTCAAGCCCATTTTAAGATCTCATCCAAAACCATTCGTTGTTGTGAGAGGGCTGAGGGTGTAGTGTGTTTAGCCGATTAAGAATCAGGGTAAGTGTCAGTTTATGTGCCATTCCAATTACCAGAGAAAATGCGTAACATCTGTTGTGACAAGTATTTTTTTTGTCTTTAATGGATTCATAAGGAAAAAATGATGAATGGTTTATAAAGAGAATATTTCAGGTCAGTATGTAGAAATTCAGTTTCAATTCAGCAATGCTTTTCGCGGTCAATAGTCAAAACTCTTGACCGCTATTTGGCTGTTCGGAATCGAGCATTTGTAAAAGGATGACAACAGGTATAGCTCGGGTTAATGATGTGGTTAGATACTAAATGTGGTAAAAATGCTGTTTAAGGTTTAGACCCCGCTGCATTCAAGATGACCACTGGGCAAAAACTACACTTTAATGTGTCACGTGACAACGACAAAGATGAGCGCGCGCAAAAGCAGCAGCAATGCTATTCGAATAGGCATATCTCAGTTAACGAGGCTTCCTATTGTAGATTCTAAGTTGAACCCTTCAAGTTTTAACAAAACTGAAGTGGCAAAGTTGAATTATTGTCCAATAACTAACATGTTTCACCACGATCTTGGCTTATCTCCGTTGGATATATGTTTTACAGTATCCACTGACAATACCGTAAATCACGCCGATACAGCACTTAAGGTTCCCGTAATGTTATCGAGAGACTTGTCAGAGGATAAAATACAACTTTTATAACCGCGTAATTATTAACCCAAACGAGTAAAAGCTAGCATAGGTTTTATGAATTTATGACGGCCTATAAAACATAGGAGATTAAAAATATAAGGCTAAATTACTTGTTAATTCATTGTGAACTGTATGCAATGGACGGGCATTTACAATACAAGTAAAAAAGAATGTAAGTATCGAACGTTCTTCGGAATCTGCCAGAGGCGTTTGCAATTTTTCCCAATACTTGATAATGCATCTGTACAGCAGAGCAGACTCACTCTTATAATGGAATTGATGGATGTAAGCACGAGAATACCAGGAATTAATCATATATCGGTGAGTTAACGTCTACAATATTTCATCATTAATCGTATACCGTACACGTTTTTTTAGTTTTAATAGGACTTCGCTGACTCGGCGATTTTGGTCACTTTCCGAGTGGAGTAGTTGGAAAAGGGTATTACCAACTCATCCGAAAGCACACGTGTGCAGACTTGATAAACAGATTTGACAGTAGCTTCATATAAGTTCGAATTTGATTAGTTAACGATGGTGTTGATAAGAAAAAGTTTTCTTACGATCAGGAAGATGGCATCTTTGAAATCACTCTTGACCAACTTAAATGTACGTGTCTTATTGTCATCAACATCATTGAGATTTTTTCAATTTGTGATCGATCGGACATCTTCATTTTAAAATGATCATTTATCGTGAGATTCAACTAATTTCGATCTAACAATCGGCCAATGCCCGCCCACCCACTCATCTATGTTCAGATCTATGCTATTGCGATCGATTAATTAAGTCCAATGCGCTTGTCTATATTTGAAATCTCACGTGCCTCCGGTCTCATAGAATGTCACTCCGTCCTTCTGTTTCTGACACTGATTAGAATTATCAATTAAAGGCAGTTACCATAGCTTCCCTTTAAGAATGACTGGTTTACGACTGCAAATAAGTGCCAATGTGTTGTCATAATGCCAGCCATTACGTATGTCAATACCCATTGCCTACGCTAATGCACCATCAAATAACAAAATAATCGCATTTTGTGTTGTATGATTTGGTATCTCTGCTCGTTGATTATTGGGTGCGTATTTGACATCAGCTTTGTAAGCGTTGCAAGTCAATCGATTATCTAAATCATCGTACCTCGATGTTGCAAGAATAACGATACAACGGTTTGTTTTAGTACACTATCTGCTAGTTCAATATTTGGATCCATTTCACATAATTGATATCTCTCTGGATGTAAGCATGGATCTTCCGAGTGGTTTTTCTTGTCGATTTTTGCCATCTTCGTTGTAAAATACAATTTATAGAAGTGTTGGCCTCGCTTTCCATAAAGTGAAATTAGATTTTGAACGGAATAAAAACTAAGGAGTCAGCAATATCGCTATATGCGCATAATAGATCTCATTTTGGACTAATTGGCGCATGACGTCATGGACATCTCAATATTAGAATTGTGTACTGGTTGTGGTTAATTGATCACAGAGATTATTTCGATTTTATTTAGAATATATCAGAGACATATAACTGTTTTATATGTCTCTGAATATATAAACCAAGATATATCAGTATCATGCACGTTCAAATTAAGGATAGGCTAAGGGGGGGGGGCTCCATGGTCCCTTCCCCATCGTGGATTGCCATGACAATCTTTTTGTCCTTTGTGAGAGAAGAGATGCGGTATAAGTATCAGAATGACCTCAGTTGTTGTGTTATATACACTACCCTCCGTAAGTTTGGAAAACCTTCATTGGATAGCTGATCAAAAAGCTGTCTTTCACTATTTGAATCTTAATTCAGTACCTTGATTGCAATAGAAATTCAAG